AGCAATAAGAATCACCTAAAGATTCGAATCCGGAAGTGGTCAAGAGACGAACAGAGTATTGGCCGTTTCCAAGTCGAATGCAATTTTCAGTAAAAAGTTGCTCACATCGCAAGTCTTCCGACAATAAAGATGGCTTAGACGAAGTGAAGTCCTCAATTTCCCAAAATCGCTTTACAATGGCGGAAAGTGTGTCATCGGAATAATCAGCTGGGTCCTTGATGCTGGCTTGTAAAACCGACTTATGAGTTGGCATGTTCGATGATAACCCTCCAGAGACTATCCAACCAAGCTTGGTGTTCTGAAGAGTTGGCAAAGCCCTATCCAAATGAATTTGTCCCATAGAAATTATTTCGAAAAACAACCCAGCGCCGAGTAAAAGGTCAATTCGTTGTGATTGATTGAAATTAGGGTCAGCGAGTGAAATGTTTTGCGGTATCCTCCACGATGTTGCATTTATATTGAAATGGGGTTGATAATCAGTAATACTGTGAGTCACAACCGCTGTGAATGCCGCTCGATAGCTTGCATCCCGTGATTGCACAAGAATATCGACAGTCTTATCAGAGATCATGGAAGATTCTCCTATCCCAGAAATCGACGTTTGCGATCTTCTGTGATTCAAGTTTAGTTGGCTGGCTAAGCGAGAGGTTATGAAGTTTAGCTGGGAGGCCGAATCTAAAATTGCTCGGCAAGGCATAAATGCTCCAATTCTATTTCTGACGTAGATAATAGCAGTTGGAAGCAACACGTAGTCGATCGGCAAAACATTTAAGGCTTTGGGTGGGGGGCTTGGTAAATGATGATCAGGATGCGATGATGTATGCGAACATGATACTAATGCTGCTGAAGTAGATGGTAATGGCTGAGAGCTCGAGGATGGATCGCATGATGGAGATGAAAATGAGGTTGATGTTGCGGATGGGTCATGGTTCATGTGTAATAATGAATGATGCTTCATGCGACAATACTTGCAGTGAGTCGACTTGCATTGCTGCAAACTATGCCCCTTGCGCAAACAGTTGAGGCAAAGGTGCAACTTCTTTGCTTCTCTATATCGAAGATTCGGACTCAAATTTAAAAATCGAGGACACTTTGGCAAATAATGATCCCGTGCATCGCAAAATAAGCATGTCAAATGATTTGAGTTAGTAGCAGATGCAATAAGTGTATTTTGGTTATATTTGTGCAAGTTTTTTCCCACCTGTTGGCCTGGTGTTTGAGTTACCAAGGCTTGATCCAAGTTTTCCATCATCCTGCACCTCTTTTCCAAAAACGACTCCATAGCATCCCAGGTAGACAGCTCAGTGATTGACAAATCCTCTTCCCATTTTTCCCGCGTCCTCTGATCCAGTTTCCGAGTGACGATGTGAATTAAAAGTCCATCCAAAATTTGTTGCGTATTGGCCAGGGTTCGAATTGCTCGCAGATGCGAATTCATGCAATCGCTCAGCTCCCGAAGACCCTTCGAAGATCCCTTCTCGACACCCTTTAAACCGAATATTGCCTGAACATGTGCCTGAAAGTGTAAAACTTTATTATCAAATCGATTAACCAGCAAATTCATAGCCTTTTTAAAATTAGCATTCGAGGGTTCGAGCGAGCGTATGGTTTCCAGAGCCACGCCGCCCAAACTCGAACGCAAATATTGTAATTTTTCAATGTCGCTTAGCTCATCATCATTTCCGATGACCGTAGTGAAAGTCGCAAGAAAATCCGGCCACTCAGAGTAGGATCCATGAAAACGAGCAATTTCCAAATTTGGCAACCGAGGCTTTCTAGATCGAAAAGAAAGATCCGCATTATTAGTGATGTCAATAGATGTTGAATTTGCAGCGGTTGAAGCCGGCAATTGTGACTTGCGATGAGCCGCCAAGCCTCGGCTTAGTTTCGCCTTCACATCCATGAAGACTTCAGCAAATTCAATCCGATGGTCGCTCGAGATCTCTGCAAAGTCCAGTCTTTCCAACGATGTCTGCGCAGAATCAAATGCCTGGTTTAAGGAATTGATCCATTCCATTCGCGCCAGCAGATCAGATTCGTCAAACTGATTAACCGCATCAGCGTTTAAATAGCATTTCATCGAGCTCATTTGCCGCAAAATAGATTGGGCTTTGACTCGGTAGTAGTCGACGTCACTTGTGGATTCATTTTGAGCCCGAACCGAGTTTTCCGTATCAGACATTTTTCAATCACGAAAAAGAAAAAAATGAAATGAAAATGAAGTAAAGTAAAATGTCCGACCGCGTTAGAGGCACAAAACACCGTATACCCTTTACCGCGAAAACGTGAAGGTTAACAAGCGTCGCTGAGATGCAACGGAACCTTTAACTTTGTTGTTGTTGTTCTTGCCGGTAAATTGCCTGCCTAGCAACAGCGGATTATGTAACTGGCAAACGAATGTATGTATGGCTATATGTACATGTATATATGTAATATGCGCTATTAACAAAGATTAAATGCGATTCCCTTTGTTAAGAATTATTTGCACAACACAAATTTGGTGCTTTTTCACAGCGCAAAATGTACAAAAAATCAAACGGCCGGCTGTGCACTTTTATATGCACATATGTATGTATGTTTGTCTGTTTGTGACCGAATGCACGATAAAGACAGCGAAACAAAGCGTTTGTTTAAACTATATTAAACAATCGCGAAACCGAGTTGCAGACTCCGATTAAAACTGCTATCACGTCGGGGTCACCAAGTGTTTATGGGGAAGACAACAAATATGCCACCCTTATATTTATAATTAATAACGCACGAATAGGTTATATTAAAATGTATAGCGTTTATTCGGAGCGGCAGACGGACTGTGAATGTGTAAAAAGCTTGGCTCCAAGATCTTCATATAGACATATGCAGGCTTACAAAGTAGTTGCTGAATAGATAAGCGACAGCTTTATGGGTATAAGAAAGAAGGCGAAAGATAAGCAGAGAGCGATGCAGGTGCCGTCGTACACCTATGCGCGCATGACTAGGCGCTGGCGATCTGCTCCGAACAGGTGTTTTTAATAAATAAAGCCTTATGTTAAAAAGTGTGCTACAAAATAAAAAAAAGCTAAAAGTTCTTATTAAAATAAATTTTATCTTTCAATCTTATATAACCTAATATTCGATCCCAAATCTTGTTCATAATAATACAAGTCTTATACATCGGAAGAAACCAATAATCTGATAGGCATTATAATACTTTAAAAGGTGTCTAAGAGTATGCTACAATATTATTAAAATGGTAAAAGCCCTTGTTGAAATATCTTTTACTTATCGTAGTATACTTCTAGGCTCCATTTTCAGTGATTTTAAAAACCATGTTTCTAAGTTCTTTGTAATAATATTGTAGAATACCTTTCTTTTGTGTGAACTGTTCCACTCTATTAAGTCCCATATTTATTAATTCATACAATTTTTGAAATTAAACTGCGATGTTTTTTCTCTGTGTATTCCATAGTGGAATATATTGAAATACAATCGATGCTGAACAATTAGGCGCCGATTCAAAGAGGCTATAGTCTGTGGTGCGTAGTCTGGGAATAATATTTTTATGGCCAGCGGCGCGCATAAATCCCGGACATTCGGCTTGTAATTCAAAATGGACAGAGGAACGTGCAACTCGAACTTAGCAACTCCCGGCTGGATAGCGACTGGGTCCATAATTTATCGTCCTGCTTGATTTGAGTGCATAAATTCCCTGCCAAACGCCTTGTGCCTCGAATCCCTCGGATATGCTCCTCAAAAGCTGCTCAATGAGCCGAAGATGCAGAACATTTTGTAAGGCGATGCGCTTTTAATGTGTTTATTGACTTTCCTGGGGAAATGGGTTGGATAAATCGGGGGGTTTTTAGGTGGTTTTTGGTGCTGATGTGATGGGCGAACTTGGGTGCAAAGCAGAAGGATTAGACCAATCAATCAAATGCTATCGAGTTAATTAAACAAGATGCTGCCGAAGTAGCCGGGTATTTGGGTCAACTGTTTGGTCTTTGGGCTCCTGGAATCGTCTTGTGCATATTTATTGCAGTAAAAATCCAAATAAATTCCAAATACAAGCTGAAGTGTGTTTGTCAATTATAAGTGTTAATGTTTGCATATATGTGGTCTGTAATCCTCCTACCAGAACCATAATTGCATATGAAACATGAAATTTCACTTAGATTGGCATGCAACTAATCTGCTTTTCCAGGATGTGGGCGAGTATGCATAGTACATTCAACAGTATTTTGCATATTGTTTCCAAGGATGCAGCAGCTCATTCAAGAGCAGCTCTTTCACCCGGACAACTATACAAAAAATACAATAATACTCTATTGAATATGTACATTAAAAATGCAGCAGAAACTTAATTAAATTTCCCAACTCTGTGAGGGGCTAGAACACGTACAATCAGAGCCATCCGGCCACATAAACTTCAATTACAAATTACACAAAACGCAAACAAAGTCAAGTGAATGTGAGGTTTAAATAACTAGATTTCACAAGGGAGGATTACAATTTGCACAGGAAAAGTCTTCAAGAAATATTTGTGGAAGAAAAGCCAAAACTTTTATAGATCAATATGATTTTATCGGTTTCTTTTTCATACTTTCATATTATTCATTTTTAATTTTGTTGTGCAGAAAAATATTACACACTTTTGCCTATTACATTAGGTCCTTATGGAAAAATTGATATTAAAATAAATAACTAATTTAAAATATTTTAATAGAAATAATTGCTTTTAAAAGTACAATTTTTCCCATTTTTAATTTAAAAGTAACATTTTACAGAAATTTAAAACCAATTGATTTTTAAATTCCATTTAAAAGGGGTGCTTATAAATTCAGGTGTCAAAAAGTATGCAACAATATTTTTTAAACTCAAAAGTTTAATGAATTTATTTACTTAGTTGACTATTCTTTATTCACTGCATACTTTTACCCCTAAAATGACATAGAGTTTTGTGTGGCACCCCTAAATATTACTGAAGTTCGTCAACCCTGTTCCATAATTGACAACAATCTCCCGATTTCCGAGAAGTTTCTCGACCTGATTGCTTTCCAAAAAATCAAAGTCGCTCGCTTTTGATGTTTCGGTTCTACAAGTTGTACTCGTTGTACATGAACAACATGTCCAGCGGGCTCACCTGGCCGCGGGAATGGTGCCTGTGCGAGAAGCTGCCCCGGGCGGTGCTCCACATTCCGGTGAATCGTCATCTGCTCTGCGAGGTGTGCGGATTGGCCAGGAGGCCACAGGGCGAACGCGGTTCCTCCAGCGACGAGGATGCAGATCCAGGCCGCAAATACCAGAGGAATCTCCTGGAGCAACGTCACGTCACAGAGGAGCCAAAAAAGGCACAGATGAGTCGGGTGAAGGTGGCCATCCGGGCAAAGAAACCCAGAGATCATCGGAATTGCCGATGCGGCAAATGTGGTGGCTTGGCCAGGGCAGAAGCTGGACAGGAAGGTGCCGATGGACCCGGTGAAGAGGTGAAAAGCAAGTTTTATTCGGGGCGGCATGGCATGTATTCCAGGCCAAAGGGCATGCTCCGTCGTCAGCAGGAGCCCACAGCCCCGCCTCCTTCCTCGCCGTCTCCACCTTCTTCACCACTGCCACCAGCTCCTCCTCCACCGCCATCATCGGGGTCATCGCGGTCGGAGATGCCCAGCCTGGTGGCCAGGGCCCATGACGTCTTCAGCCGGAAAAACCACCTTAACCAGAGCTACAGCCATTTATTTGTCAACAACTTCATCCCCTTGCAGAGTCCAATTATAGATTCCTTCGGAGGAGCTATTTCCAAGAGGAGCCTGAACAGCTCTCTGCCGCCACGCAGCCACAGGAGTCGCCCACTGCCCCCCCTCTCCAAAGTGGTGACCAACATCCTGGCCAGCCCAAAGTCACTGGATGACAGGGAGAAGGGCGGTGGTCTAGGTCCACACAAGTCCAAGGATTCGCTGGATACCCTCAGTCAGTTCTGCCCCTTTGAGCACTACGAAGGTCCTTCGGAGGACGCTCTCGTCGTAAGTAGTGCTCGCAGCCTCCTCCATCAACCCAAATCCCTGTACATTGAACCACGAAAGGATTTGCCCAACAATCGCATCGAGAACTTGGATTTATCTTCAGATCCGTCAAATGAAAATCTATCTGGAATATTTTACATGACGAATTCAGTTCGCAAAAATTTAATTAAGACCATTAATCATATCGGTTTCGATTGCAGTAGTTCAAGTAAAACTAGTTCCTTAAGTAATCCAATTTCCAATCCTCCAAAAGAAGAGTGTGAAAAACACAAAGATCTAGCATCTGAGAGATCCTCTATCATCGCTTCTATCATGGATGAACTTTTCAACTCAAAAGCGAAAGTATCCGAGGATGACCAAACTGGGAAGACTCCGGAATTGGACGAACTTAATCAGACAATAAGCAACCAGTCCACCAATAATCCTGAAACGGCTTCTTTGTTAAGCAATGTGTCAACTGAACAGACTGTATTTTCTTCAAATAAAACAAAGCCTCTTCAAGATTATTCCAAACTCTTCTCAAAAACACTAAGCAATTCTAGCTGGGAACGGGAATTCTGTAGAATAGATGAATCTTCACCAAATGCAAGTGGAAGAGAGGTATATTCAAGCAACGCTGAATCCAAATCAACATGTTTAAAGTGTGGAAACATTAGACATCAGGAAGGAAAAGATCCTAAAACAAAACCAGGATTTAGTAGAATTCCAAGAAGGCTTGATACAAACTCAATCGGTATAAATAGAAATATAGACAATGCAATAAAGCATAAACTCAATAGCGTAAGAGCTTTTTCTGGAAAACAAGAATTGCTAAATCAGAGCCATGAAAAGGGAAAAACCTTAAAGATAGAAGATCAAGTGGATAGTGAGTGGATAGTGAGTAAAAGTACCCCAAAAATCATTGCTCGAGAAGAAATCCCAAAAGGTATCAATACAAAAGGTCAAAGAATTTGTCAGACATCACAATCTCCTTGTAAAATACATCATTGTGCCAAACCTAAAATGCAAAATAATACAGGTACACCCGTAATAACTGTTCAACCACGAAAAAACTCTAGCCAGAAACCAGAGGAATACTTAAAAAACAATGTACGAAATACACCCAAAGATGCGAATTTGATCAGGACGAGAATACCGGTAAATAACTTCAGAGTATGTAGACATAAAGAACCTTCGTTTAGCTGGGGTGTGGTGGAAACCTTTGAGATAATTTCCCATATGTGCCGAGAGATCCCCAAGCTCCAGGTGGCTACCTTTGTGAGAGAGTTAGTCAATACCAGTAAAGGTATTTTGGGCTATATCAAGGAAAGTTTGGTTACGGATCAACCACCTTTGTCCCTCTATGAATTTCGCATACCAGACATTAATCTAAGCGATCTACAAGATTACCGAGATCATGATGATAGTGTGCAAGATGATAGCGGAAGCGAAACACCAATAGCCCATTTAGCAACTCCAAAACTACCAGGTCTGTCTTTTCGGCAACGTAGAAAACACAGAAAACCCGTCTGGCCAGCCCATCCAATAAAATTCCAAAGTCGCAAGATCCAGTACGAGGAACTTAAATTCTCAATCAACACGCAACAAAATGGAACCTCTTTGGAACCCAATGAGAACTTTCTGCATCATAAAAAGAAGATGATTAAAGAGGAGAAAATATTTACCAGTGTTTATGAAGCTCAGAACTTCTCACAGTCTGATTTTTTCTTTGATAGGAGTCCAGAAAAGGACACCAAGTCAAAACCAATTCAACTAATTAAAACTAATTTAAGTGATAGTAAATCGTCTCAGTCTGATATTTTTGGATCTCAATCAGAACGCATGAAATGGGATACTTCAGATGGAGATTTAGAAAGCTCAAGACCAGAAAAAACTTCGAAAGTAGAATCTAAATTAGAAGTTAAAGACAAAAAGGATAAAATTAGTCCAACAGAAGGAAAAGTAACATCCCAAGATGTTTTAAATCAGTCACCACCAAACAGTTCCTCAAAAGTGAGCTTTGACATAAGGAGGAAAATAGACAAATCGATGCAACAGAAACTCAAAAAAATGATGAGTAAACCAATAAAGCTGCTAAATTCAAACGAAGCTGAATCTGTTGTCAAATTTCTGGAACCATTTACCAATAAATTAGCTAGTTCTGAAGAAAATAAAAGATATTCTAGTCCTGAGGCTTCAAATAATCATAATAAGGTTCCTGACACAGAAACTTTAAAAGATGTTGGTACTGCCAAATTAGAAGTAGAATCCAAACCAAAATACAATTCAAGCATCCCAAAGCAAGGAGAGGACGTTGTAAATGAAGAAGAAAAGGGTAGAGCTTCTTCAAATTCTGCTTGTGAAAAGAGTGATCTATCCCAAAAGCCTCTTCGTCTTATAACGAACATGTCCTCGTCAAGCGAGTATGAGTCAAAATGCCTTTCTCTGGAAAATAGGGTGGAAATAGAAACTGACTCTGATGCAGCTTCGGAACCCGTTATGACCCATAAGACCACTGAATATGAAGGACTGCCTGATCTGAACTGGCAAGTTATTACCATGGGCTTACCTAAGCAAAACGAACCTGTTGAGGATGCATCAGAATCAATTGGGGAAGAAGAATATCCTTGTCCTATTCACAAGTGTGGCCATTCCTTAAATATGAAGATATTTGCTTCCCATTTTGAGCAATTTCACCGACACAAGTCCGCAAAAAATGCTTCACCACAAGAATATTGTCATCGGGTAGTAGAGGGACTACCAAAGCAGTTCTTTTTTGATGCCGAATTTCTCACCAAAGGAAATTCTTTTGTGGCCCTTCTTTTTTACAGCAGTTTGAAAAAAGAGTCGTAAGTTAATAGCATATTCAACACAGTCTTCTTATAAATAATCCACCTACAGTTCCCACAGATCATATCCAATTCGAGACTATCCACTGGCCTTATTAGCAGCACCTCAAAGGGTAAATAATGGGCCAACAACTGGCATTTTCTTCTGGCTGGTGGGTTATCCCTCATGTGCGAAGCTTCAAGTCAAGCTCACAGTATGCGATCCATTGGAACACGTTGGTCGAAGTAGGATTATAAGGCCAAGAGATATGTCGCAGAGCCAGGACCCAGCAGAGTTCCTTACCAATTCTAAATATAACCTGCTTATTAAAATTCCGCATAAGAAGCAAAGAAAATTTCAAATAAGTGTGGTAATAGATGAAAAACACTAGTAATTGTACATGATAGGTATTAAAACCTAACAAATTTGTTGTATGCTTGAAATGTTCATCATTTTATGGGTTCAGTCTTGCCAAAATCCTTTAAAAAGTTCAAAGACGTCTTGTAAGTTGTATATTTTTTAATAAAACGTTCGAGCAAGAACTAAAAAACGCTCAAATATCTCTCACATCAGATCAGAATTGCCTAGCTTTATTTATATAATAGTTAATTGCGTGTTACACTACTAATTTCTTTAAGTTGTTAGTTCGCTTTAATTACATGTAGAGTAAATATTTATGCACATAAAGATGATGCGCTCTCATCTACGTACTCGCTATGATTATTATCAATTGCAATCGTTTCTTGCACTCGCCCAGTGCTCCACTGTATACATTTACAAACATAGGAATACAAATAAGTAATATTTAGTTTGTTTAACGGCTTGAGTAACTAAGCGGCAAAACAAGGTCCAACTGCTGCAGAGAAATTCGCAATTCTCTGGGTCAACATATTGCAATTAGGAAATGCTGTGATTCAAGTCTGCACGCCTACTTCCAAAATACATATTCAATGGAAAACTTTAAACTTAAATTCAACATAAGGCGGATTAGTCGAACATCGATTAAAAATTACGACATCCATCGTACTTTTTTGAGGGACAATAATTCGCTGTACCTGGAATCGTGTGTGTGCTGATGTACTTGATGTGTGATTCTTGTTCTATGTCTTATCAATTAGCTAGATGTGGATCATTAAATATTAATATATATTGTGGTTTCTCCATCCTAGTTGCCAGCAACGTTTTGCACTTCACTTGAACTGATTATCTCGTAATCTTTACTCGAGCTCTCCGAATCGGATCCCGAGTTGCGTGGCGTTCTGAAAACAAAAACATTTCGAAATTACTACAAATCAATGTGAACTAATCAAAAATAAATGTGGGACATTCGAACAATGAGTATATTGTTAAATAAAAACTGTATGGGATGCATAAAACTTACTCTGCGCCAAACTTTGATTTGTAAACTCACGATTTTAATTTATATTTACATCGTAACCAATCGGGATTTCACCTGTGAAATACCTCGAATTTCACCAGTAGCAATTGCACCATGGGCCATGAAAATGATTAGTCTTAAAACCATATCTACCAATAAAATGAGCCTCCACAGACCACGAAACAAATGTATTTACAAATGACATGCTCCGTAAACGAAATAAAATTGTTATGAACGCAAACAAAAAATAGGATTAATGCATTTTACACATACAATATTATTTATTAAGGAACAAAGAGGTTTTACAGTTAAAAGCTATAGTTAATTTATGTATCTTGCGCTACGCAATATTGCTTTTTGTATGAAAAAATACAACTAAAACGCCGATGGAAATAAATCAAATTATAAATACAAATTCGAGCAATAAAGCAGGAATCCTCGTCATTACTGAGCGGATCCTTCTTACCCATCTTTGGAGTCCTTGGGCTGCGTTTGCGGCTCCTCTTCCTCCACATCTTCCTCCTCGTACTCATCGGCTCCCACCTTGCGACGCTTGCGGATCTCCATGTCGGTGTCGTGTTCTTTGATGAGCTCGATTTTCTCTGGCTCAAGTGTGGAGACCTCCGCATCCACGTCACCATCGCCGTCAGCATCCCCATCCGCATCTACAGCTGTGTCCTCGGCATCGCTGTCCTTCTCCTTTTTCTTGTCCTTCGATTTGGATTTTTTGTCGGTCTTGGCGGACGAGTTATTCGCGTCACTGTTAAAGTTGCTCTATTTGGAGAAAAAATATAGTTAGTTGGCTGACAAAAAGTGGGTAATCATTGCGAAACAAACTTCGTAGAGCGGCCAGAAGGAGGCAAAGAAGCCCACATCCTCGGTCAGATTGGGGAAGATCCAGAAGTGCAGCTTGCCACCGGTTAATCCCCACACGATGATGAACACGATCAGCCGGATAATGGTCAGGGCCAGGATGAAAACAAGGAAGCCGGCCGCCGCAACGGACAGATAGTAGACACCCTTGCGCAGCAGTGGAGGCCACAGGGGGAACAGGCAAATGCCCACGGCGCCCAGGAGCAGGATGAAGCCGAATATCCAGTAGTGCAGCGGAATGGGATCGTAGATCCACACGTAGGCCTCGGAACCGTCCACAAAGATCTGCTCGGGATGCATGTCCAGTCGGATCTTGCGCTTTTTCTTCTCCTTTTTCTCCTTTTCATTGCCAGAGGCACCTCCGTCGCCCTGGCCATTTTCGGCCTCCGGATCCGTGTCCTTCTTGTCGTCCTTGGACTTATCCTTCTCCTTATCCTGATTCTTTTCCCTGTCGGCCTTCTTGTCGCCACCGGACTTGCTCCTGATCTCCTCCAGCGTGACGGGCACCTTCTTAGCGCGATGGAAAAACTTATGCTCCAGCATCACGTCCAGAAACTCGATCACCTGCTCCCTGGTGGTGAACAGTGGGCTGCTGCCCTCAGTGAATTTGGATTTCAACAGAGCATCGATTGCCTTGCTGGAGGTGAAGTACTCGACGATGTGGCTCAGGAACTTGGTCTTCTTCGTCTTTACGTTCTTCTTCAGCCACTTGGCCACGTTCTTCTCATCCTTCGATGGCTTGTCCACCTTCTGGGCCCCCGGTTCGGTGTATTCCTATAGAAAGAAAAGTAAAAAGTCGGATATTGGGGTTAGGAACTCACTTTCACGATCGATTGGTTCGACGGGAAGGGGCCTAAAAGCAAATATAGGCCACGACACCAATTTCGTGTTCGTCACCCTCAATCCGTTGAGATGGCTCATAATACGTGGGGTTTTTCTAAATACCGTGCCATCGTCGAAGATTTCCTGTTCCTCCAGCTCCTCCTCGTAATACTCCTGCACTCCGCTCATTTTCGAGTTGTATTTTGTATAAAATGGAACTTAATAAATACTATAAAACTAATCTGAAATCGGTAGTAAGTAGCTTTTCTTGGTCGTGACGTGTTGCACTCGCTCCGAGAGTCTAGAAAGTATTGAATCTTGACTCTGGTCAAACGAGCTGGCGATCACCACAACAAACAAACACACGCTTACAGCAGCACATGGATAGTGCCAGGGGCGGATTTGGAGTACTTCTTCAGGGGGGTAAAATTTGCTTAGCTTAGAGAGTAAACTTTTTAAATAACTCTAATTTTACATGATTTTCATTTGTAATACTTTTAATCTCTGTGGGGGACTATGATCGGTAACCCCCCTTGGATCCCCCGCCTATGACCTGCTGCCTGTACTCAAACTTTCCCCAACAACAACAACCAGAGCAGCTGATAAGTGGGCCTGCACCTGACATGTGTGGGTAATGAGAGAGCGAGAGGCAGAGAAAAAGAGAGCGCGAGATCGACTTACAAGACGGGCTTACAGCGTTGCCAGACCGGGCCAAAGCTTACAAGCTCAGCTGTTTAAATTGTGGACCCAAAAGTTAATTGACTGAAAAGTGAGTATGTAAACCGAAAATCCAGACCCAGCTAAATACGCAGTCAAGACATTTTCCACAACACACATCTAATTATAGACCATTGCAGGCGGGGGGCGTTTTACACGGTGCTGTCCAAAAGGAGAACGCAACCAGCATTGAACTTGCCCCCCACAAATAAGCGTGCAAGTGAATGGCCCGTCTGATCTCGCATATCAGCGTTTTGCGTTTTGGGTTTCTTTTTCTTTTTCTGCGAACTCACGTTTTTTCTCTTTTTCTATCAAAACAAAAAACAAACACTTTCGGCATGCCAATTGGACTGTGGCACCCACACACGCGCATCTCTTTAAATGCTTTCCTATCAGAAACGAGTGGCACTTACATCCTTACGGCGACGGGTTCGCTTCTTTTCCGACATTTTCGCTCAAGAGTGACAATCTGCTGACTTGAAATTTGTTGTTTCAGTAATTTTGATAATAATTCTGCCACACACGCACCACATAAACATCCACGAAAGTAGAGGTGGAGAAAACATCGATGTGATTCTCGATACATCGATAGTGATGGCTTATCGATAGCAGACGACTCAAAGAAATATACCATTTACAGTTTATTAATTATACCAAAAATATACCAAGCGGCGAACGACGGAACATCTGGAACAAAAAGAACTAGTAATTTTGAACTCCTTTTCAAAACAGGTTTCCAACCGTCCATATTTCCAAAATCATGAAGACATATTGCATTTTCTTATTTCTAATTAATATTCACCAGTGTAAATATATATTAACTTTAACAATAGTTAAGTGTTATTAATATATTTTGGATTGGCTCTAATAACATCTTTTTTACTTTTTCAAATGTTACTCGTTCAACTTTTCAAATAGCCACTTGTTGCCTTTTCCCTTTCAATTTACCAAGTTACTTTCAGGTTGATATCCCCAACTAAAGGGACTACAAATTAGCCGCATTAACTGACCATTGATGTATCGTACTGCATTGCAAATTAACATTAGAAAAAGAGCTTCACCTAAAAAACACCTATATGACATACGAAAAGATTGTGCTGATACATAGATTACAATCTAATATTTATCCAATTGCGAAGTTAAATTTCTCTTACAATTTTTGTTATTGACACATATATTTTCTGGTTTATTTCAGGCAAGTTTATATAATTCAAAAATAGTTTGATTGCAGTCACACTTATCCTATCTTATCTGTCGATATATCATTATTTGCTATATCGAGCAAATATCAAGATTTCAATGTAAACTCAAACAATTTAATTTCCTTACATCCTCTATTAAAATTATCTTTTTATTAATCTTTGTTTTACAACAAAATACAGACTAAATAATAAGTAAAATATATTATTTATTATATATTCTTATTATTATTATTAATAATGACCCTCGCCAATGGGTCGATCAAAGTTTACGCTATTTTGTTTGCTTCCGGTTGTTGTAGTTTTGTTTTTGTTTTTTTTTTGTGTCAGTTGTGGTGTGTTCCGTTTTGTTTTCCGTATCAGTTTGTGTCTCGTTTGTTGTATAAGGTTGGAAAACTATAACTAAACCAAATCTGTCGCTACCGCCACGCCAAATGTTTGCAATGTTACTCTGTATGATCGTTTAGCTTACTTTTTATTCTTAGAAAAAATGTGTAAAATGTATACATGAAAATATAAGATTGGAGAGTAAATGCACAAAAAGGGGAGGTCGGTTTGATACATTTGGGGGTCCATGCTCCCACATTCAGGGTTGTGTTTCACAAGTATGCTTTGTACATTTTATTCGGATGCAGTATTCTATACATTTACAGTTTATGTATCCACATACTTTAAATGATATTTGGGGAGGAAACGCCTTATCATAAACATAAAATCGGAAACACGGCGCCCCCTAGCCCTCCCTCCTCTCTGGGATTGCGTTTCACCCGTCAAAAGAATACAATAAAACACTTTAAAGACGTGTAATGCACATTCGTTAAAGTGATTCCGGAAAGCGTATGTTCTGTTCTACCGCCAGCTTTTGAACACACTCTCCCCAGCACACTTCACTGGCTCCTGCGTCTCAAGCAGACCGACTAGGTCATAAAACTGGGTCGTAGAACTGATTCAATGGTCGGTTCTAGCCACCTTGCAAAGAACGCTTTGTATGTGGGGAGATGGGGGAAAGATACGAAAGGTTAGGATGACGCTGCCCATCGCAAGGGCATACCAAAGTGGCCTTTATACCATCTGGGTATTCCTTGCGATCGAACGCCTCTGTCAGTTTGGGTTGGTGGTGGGTGGATGGTAAGTGGGGGTTATGAGTTACTGTTGTGTTTTTGAGTGTGTGTGTTTTGTTTGTCAGTGTTCTGGTTCTGTTCTGTTCGGTGTACGCTTTAAACTAAATGATAAAATATAGTTTAAACGTTAGTCGTGTTAACTAATTGTTAAAATCTGGATCTTACGAATACGGCGCTCGAATCGTGTTCACTGTAGCCCAAGCGCTTGGTGTGCTTGAACACCTCGTTGGTGATGCTCGTGACGGGCATGGACTGGTCCAGATTCTCGGCCATGTTGAGCACGAGGCGCAAGTCGCGTTGCATGTGGCTCAAAGGCTGTTGTGGATTGAAGTCGCCCTTGGCCATTTCTGAAAGGAAATAGGGCATAAGACAAGGTGAAAATTTGCTTTAAAAACTATTTTATAGGATATTATTATGCCAATAATCTTAAAGAAAATGTCTTTTAAACAAATACTCGTAAATTAATTTGCCTTAAGCCTTACCTTTGCCCTTAGCTAGCAGCATCGGTGATTTCATCGAAGTCAAATCGAAAATGTCTATGATATCGTTTAAGGAAATGGAGAAACGATCAGCTGCAAAGGAAAGAAAAAAATTATAAGAGTTTAAATATTACATACACTAAATAGCAAACTTACCAAGTGCTAACGCCTCAGCCAACCCGACCAGACTCACTCCCAAAATGGTTTGCAAAATAAGGTTCACTTTGCAGGCGTTACCGATATCTGCTAGATGTGAACAAACGACAGATTTAGTACATTCTTCTGAGGAAAATATCATTGCACTAGGCTGTACTTACTCCCCAAGAAGAATGTGTTCTTCGCGATGGTCTTGAAGCACGAGTGGCACTCCTCGAACACTGAACGATCTCCACCGGCGAGGATGATGAGCATGCCATCTGCCGCCTCTTGGCGCGATCCATGGATTTGTGCCTCCAAATAGCGACCGTTGCACTGCTTGATACCCTCACCAATGTCCAACGAAGTGTCCGGATCAATGGTAGACATTTCCACGTAGGCCTTGTTGTTCAAGTCCTTCAACTGCAGAACACCACAGTTGCCAAAAACGAGCTGAAGATGAAAAAAGGGCATATTAATTGGTTAAATTGTAAGACAGCTTCAAGGTTTTTGTCCTCTGTTAAGATACCCCATATATTATTTCCCAATGCATTTGTATTCTAATTTATTTTAAGTTTATACAGTCTACAAACGGCGCCATAAAGAGAGCACCTATTTGTTTTGATTACCAAATGGAGAAAAGGCGAAGAATATTTGTGCTTGCTTACATAAATCACCGTCCTCTTAAGCGGACATAGGGAACCGCTCTACTCGATCTATGTCTCAACAAGTACAGTATACAACAGCACACATAGATGAACTGCACGGTGCAAACTATAAACACAAATTTTAAAAAATCCCTATCATAATTAACATATTTTTCTTTAGCAATATAATCGTTGCTTTCTGAAATTGTTCTGATTGCAGGCTTTTTTAATTTGAAAAATGCCATTGTTAATATTTAAAATGTTAAGCTTTTACGTGGTCACAATAATTTAACATCAAAGATTAGTTTAAAAATAGACAAATCTAATTTCCTATACAACTTAAAAATAACACACAAAAATCCCCTTGTTCCACATATTCCTAAAAATCAATATATGTATTCATGACTTACATCCTTGGCGCCCTTGGGGTCCGACACACAGCAAAAGATAACGTCGGCAGCCTCCACCACATCCATGGGAGTGTCTTTGACCTCGGCACCGGCCTCCGCGAAGGGCTGACACTATAAAACGCAAATGTCATAAGATGAACTTTAAACCCACTAAAGTAGACACTTACCTTGTCAATGGTGCGGTTCCAGACCACAACCTTGTGGCCTGTGTAGATCAAGTCCTTGACTATGGTCGATCCCATCATGCCAAGACCCAGGAACCCAAAGGTCTGCTCTGAGGGCACGATTTCGCGATCGGCCAGCGTGTTGGAGCGCGAGCTCATGTCGATAACTTGCGCCTCCGGCCGCGTGACCACCGGACGGTCAAGCAGAGCAATTGCATTCGGAGCCCGTTTGGCGGCCAGTGAGGCCAAAAGTGCATCAGTCTCCACGCGACGTCTGGCCGTGGGCGTGGCGCTGGCACCCTCCACATCCTGCGCTGCCTCCCCGGAAGCAGCCCTCCTTCCCCGCTTGGCGTTCGATGCCCCACTGGGCGTCTGTTGGGCGGAAGTGCGCCGTTTATGTGTTGATTTCGTCGCCGATCCCTTGGTCGACTTGACCGACGCGGCGGTCACGGACTTGGCCTTGGGCGTCCGCTTGCCACCTGCCTTTGTTGTTGTCGCCGGCGTCGTCGCTGGTGATGCTGAGGAATCAGCATTGACCTCCCCATCCAAGCCCTCGCCCTCATCGGGGCTGCCCACCACATGGGCCACCACTCCGTTGTTAGCATCGACTGCTGCCTCGTCGCCCACAGTCTCCTCGTTATCCAGGCCATCCCGGATCTTGTCGAAGTCGGCTTCAGTGGCGTGGTTGGGCGCCCCGCAGCTTTTGTTGACCTGTTCGTCCACCTCGGCGGGGTCGTCAATGTACTTCTCGATATCCGTCATGGCGTGGCGGAAAGCAGCGGGCTTGCTCACCTTGGCCAGTTCATCCTTCCAGGGTCCCTCGAAAGGCTTAATGTTGTTCTCCTCAATCCAGGCACTGTAAAATGTTAGACATATTACTTTGGCTCTCTTGCGTTTCCCTAGTATTTACTTACAAATTTCTAGATCCAAAGAAGAACACGCATTTGGTATTCGCCCGGCGCTGCTGGCTGAGCAGATCAAGAGGGGGATCGACGATCTAGGGGGAGTTATGATAATTAGAACCAACTGTACTATAGCTTCCGGTTCGGATTTATGGACTTAAGATTTTAAAGTTCACTTTTCAATAAATTCACATTACGAGAACTCATTCTGTTATAAATCATAAAGAAATTAGAAATTGTAAAACTAATTTTTGAATATAAGTTTCAATTTAACTATATTACTTAAACATTTATAGGTTACTTCCTTTTCAATAATCAAGTTGGGTGTTTGATTATCATAATAAATTCATCAAATAATAAACAACCACAACATTGAGAATAAAAGTGCTAATTACAATGTACATCAAACAGGTTTCTAGCTAAAGATAAAAGAAAAAATAATATACCAAATGCAACATTAATCACTTTGTAACTCTATGTTTAATAGGTTCAGAGTCCAATAAAAACTGAGGAATTAACAAATATCACAGAGACATGCAATAATCCTAACATTTTAAAAGTACACCAAATAAATTGGATTTTTTAATAAATGCAAATTGAGAAAAATCACTTTCCGTATTAACACTGACTCAATAATACAAAAATCAATTGGTATCACTTTATATTAACAAGGAAAATGATAATTTTAGAATACACTCTAATAAAAAACATTAAAAACTTTAAAAAAGGTAAACTTTTCCATTTGGAACGGTTAAAGAGATATCTCTGGCAAAAAACAATTGGTATATCACAAGGAAAACGCTAGTTCTAAGATATATCTTGATAAAAATCTGAGATTTAACAAGGCTAATTGATAAGAACTCTATAAAATGTGAACTCTATTATCAAGAGTGGTTGAAAAGGAGCTATCTCTATAGATATCCTTGGCAACGCCAGCTTGAAATCCATGCCCTCGGCGCGTTGCTCCCCCTCCTCCGCCCATGCTGGCTGTACACGATCGAAAAACCATAGCTCGTGGGCCCCCGATAGCGGGGTCTCCAAAGTCGGGCGATTTCCAGGCCGCCGGCAGCAACAACAAAGCAGCGGCAGAGTGTGCAAGTGCGTGGCTGATGGCAGCGCGGCGGCTGAGACGCCGGCAGCGTTGGAACGAAAAGTACAGTCGAAAACAAACACAACAACATGGCAGCAGAGGAGGCGGCAGCGACGCGACGTCGACGCGGCGTAAACATTCCGATCGCTGATTTTCACTGCTTACCATTCCAGGCCACGGAGTGAAGCCCTTCATTTTGGCCCTGGAAAATAGAAGGAAAATGCTATTAGGAAAAGCCATTGGGAAACTCTATTTCGGGGGGCGGACGGGGAAAAATCATATTGGCCGCGGATGAGATGGGAAAAAAGGGCGCGCGCGCGAAAAAAGCGCCAACGCAGTGACGTCGACGTCGCCGCCCGGAACCGACACATGTAACTCCAAAAACCCAAATGGTTCCAATGGATCTCTATACATAATGCCTTGCGTGGCGGTCGAAAAAGCAGCGCTAATTGCTTTTTTATGCACACTTCACTGCTCTTTTTTTGGAGCGCCAACGGTGCGCGATTGAGGTTATGTGTTTGCTTTGGTTTTCGTTTCATTTCTGGGTGCCAGCGGGGCCTTTAATGCTCCCTTAGATATTCCCGGGTCCTTGGGTCCCAGCTTACCATATCAGATCCTTGGGTTTGTAAATAAATTTCTCCGCCGTATCGCCGCCCGACAGCGACAGTTTTTTGTTCTTCGACATTATGTTGTCCAGGCGTATATTGAACTTGGTTATTTTGCTGGCTTGGGCGGACGGAGCACACGAACTAATTGGTGTACTTAAATTAGTACAAGCACAAATATCGGCGTCGGAGTTGCTTTTTAGAGATATTTTTTGCTCGCAGGCCACCCGTATTTTTCTTTTTTTTCGCTTTGTGTGTGTGATGCGCTGCCGAACCGATAGTATTTGCTCGGGATACGATAGCTGGCGGGCGCCATTTTGGCTGGCTATCGGTTAGTGTTGGAAAGCGGCCGCGGTGTCACGTCACACAAAAGGGCTGCCAACTCGTCTCTAATTGTAATTGCAATACGATATAATTTCTTATTTGCATTAATATATATATAAATATTACTCAGTATTATGTTATAAATAAAAATTTATTTTATTAGTTATGGTTAAGTTAATGTAATAACTTAAGTTATTCTTGATTCTTTAGTTCTAGTGTAATCGAAAATCAAGATAAAAGTGAACTAGTTCTTTTATTATGAACATATAATTAAATGATTGGTTCTATTTAAAAAAAACTGTTGGTTTCAAAACAAATACAAAGGAATGTAAAAGAGAGATGTTTATAAAAAATACATACTAACCATTTGGCAGCCGAATGATTTTCTGTTTGCAAAATTTGTTTAATCATGTTTGGACCCAACATTTTTAAAGAAATTAGGCACTTTCTCCGACTTTTATATGCATATAACAAAAAATAAAAAGAACAAATAAATTAAATTTGTTAGTTAGTTAAGGTTTGCATTTTTTTCTTATGTATATAAATATAGATTAATATGTGTGGCCTAATTACCAATTAATCTTTGTGTTTCTGAGCTCAAAACCAAAAAGCGAAGAAAGACTTTCACTTAACCGCAAGTATAAAGTGCTGCTCTAAGCTGCAAAATAAATTACCACACGTCCACCCCCATCTCCACTTTTCTCTGATACTCAACACTCAACCATATAATCCTCATAAATATGAAACAATCAAATAAAAAAGGAATAAAAAGAAAATGCTGCAGGGGTTGCGGGGGACATGCGACAACCCTGCTCGGTCAAAGTTTTATGGGCGACCTGGTGCCTGACAAACAATAGGGAAAAAGGGAAAATTGTGGCTGTTAAAGGGGTAAAAAGTTGCGTTTTCGTTACTTTTGGGTTGAATAATGGCATTTTGTTTTGAAATTAGCAGGCGCGAAATGGGTGAAAGGGTTTATCGTAACCAGATTGCCATCGAATATTTCGGAAAATGTGTTTCGCCAATTTTTTTGTGTATCCACGTGGGCATATTTGGATGTGATATTGACAATTAAAAAAGTGTAGGAAATCTACTTAGTTGATAATTATTCAGTGGGCAAATACATCGAACTCTTAAGAATTTGAATATTTACTGGTCCGTAAATCAGGGATGATATCGATCTTTTGCCACCTCTAAAGTTTGATGATTCGATAAATTTACACTCTCTTTTTCGCGCTTATATTTATTTTCTTGGAAATTAAGGTTGATTTCCTATTTATCTCGACGGAGAAAGAAATTATTCCAAGTTATTAGTTTCCAATCAAGTATGTAATATTGGCACATATGGAAGTATACATGTATTTATTCTTTTTCGTTTATTTCTAGCCAAAAGAGTCTCAAATATCTTAGCTTCATCGAGTTTGTTTGCGCTAATCCAATTGTGCTGACCCTTCAAAAAGGGATCTTCTCTGTTTACAATTTAAAATATATGAGTGTATGTATGTATACACTTGTAACTTTGAGAGAGCCTGTTTGAGAATTGGAAGAATTGAGAATTCCAATTGCCTTTTGGAAGTCAGTCGGTTTCTCACATCTCACTTGGATTGTTGAAATCTTTTGGACCTTCTTAATTTATTAAAGAGGTATGGTAAATCGTCTAAACAATTGATTCCGCTATTATTACTAATTTTCATTTATCAATCTGTGTACTTCCAGATCCATTGATTTTTAGGATCACAATTGTTTTTTGGAGCAACGGGATCTTGCAGAAGTAAGTTATTCAAAATGGAAGTAATATTCGGCCATCTTGTCTGTATGTAACCTTTTTGTAAAGAGGTGAAATTTATATTTACATATATTTTTGTGTATTTAAAAAAGTATTCTCCACTTATTTAATAATATGTTTTACTATTATTGCAGACCTCAAGAAAGATTTTGTAAAAAGGTACTAGGTGCAATCCCGGTCCAAGTGAGTATACCCACTTTTCCTATACAATTTACTAACCCACTTTGCTGCGATTGATTAGGATTACTCAATCGATTCCCATTAATCCGATTTACATACATATTCAATGCCTACACTGTTCTGTGATTTTTTATGATAAACGCTCATTTTTTCCAGATATAAAACGGGGTGGGTTCGAATTCTTATCGCAATAGCTCCGTAGAATAAACCCCTATTTATTCAAGCACATGTTAAATTAACTGAAATAATGTATAGCATTTCCCTTGCATTTATATACACAAATAAGTCGGCTTAGGGAACATCTCGGGCATTTAAAGTGTTGGTGAAACAACAACTTAGAGCACGCGCCACTGCCGATTGTGGAGCACCACTTGCCACTCAGCACTCACCACTCGCCACAGCCCAAGGATGTGGTGGAGGAGGAGGAGGGACTGCAGCAGGATCTAGTGCAGCGCAAACAAACAGCAAATAGGCACAAGGACCTCCTTACTGGCGGCTTAGCCAATCGCTTTGTTTTGCCATTTGGAAACTGCAGTTGCCGGCGCATTTGCCGCACTTATTTTCGCTTTTTCCCAACTTAAATTAGCTAATTTACTCCCTAGTAAATCACATTCCGAATCCACAAATTTAATCCTGTGGCTGGTTTCACAATTTTTGGCTCGCTTTTGCCAAAGTTTCTGACGCGTGGGAATCGCAGTAATTTCCACATGAGTTCACAGGGAAATCGCAACCATGCTTTAAGCTCAAGTTTATTTAAACAGTCAGGTGTGTTCAGATTGTTTAAAAAACAATCTTTCTTAGTCTAATAATAATAATACTTATGTTATTTCAATCATTTTCATTAAGGCATGTTATAACCATAAAAAAATAACATATGAAGTTGTATGGGATATTCAAAGAACTATCTTTAACAAGTTACAAAATAACGATTCGTACTTATTTATTTAATTACTTATAATAACCAAAGCTTATTTTATCGATTTAATTATAGGTAAAATGGAACCCCGACTGGATGCTGGCCAAGCAGAAGCCATTTTGATAACACATTTTGTAAATCCCCACAAATTCAGCTATGTTAAATGCAAGGATGTACAAAACTTGGCCATCTTGGTTCTACAAATAGAGCAGGACTTAAAGGATTACTGCACCAGTGAAAGGTCAAAGACCTTCTACATAGAGGATGAAGGGGTTATTGTGCGCTACATGCCATGGAATCCGCCCAAATTGCTGCGAGGTGTGGTTCTCAAGCGCCAGTTCGAGGAGTACCTGGTTAGGATCGTGGACTACGGATTCACCCTCCGCTGTTCTGTGCGGGATTTGTGGCCGCTGCCTGAGCATTTGAGCCGTAGTTTCTGGGACATCAAAGAGGGTGGAGTGGCGTTTATCACTCCCTCTTTGGGAAGTTGCTGGCCACGAACCGCCATACAAAGCCTTGACAAGCAGCTGGAGGATGCCACCCAGCTCACTTTTAAAGTCTTATATCAAAGCCCATCCAATCGAGACTTTGGCCAGCTTTTGTTAAGATCACCCAACCAGAATGAAGATGCAGCATATTTTCTGGTACAGCAAGAACATGCCCGCAGCAATGAATCTCAAACCATGTTTATGGGAAGCTCTTCCGATGAGTTAAGCTTTGAACTGGCGGAGATCAACGACTTGGCGATCAGTGCGCGTCCGCGTGTCAGGAGCATAATGGTGCTAGTGGCTGGTAGTCTGTCCTCCGAAAACCCCCAGAAGCTTCAGCTCCAGAAGCCCATCTACACCAATGTATCCAAAGAATTAAGGGCAGTTGCTAATAGATACACATTAACTCATCCGGCAACTCAGCCCCAGAAGTTGGAGGCGTTACTTCAAAATCGCAACCCCTACCTCATACCAGAAACTGGAAAAGTCCTGAGTAAGATTCAAGGCAACAGCGATAATTCCGTGCAAACTGCCCTATTTAACAGGTCAAAACAGATTGATAAAAAAATTCCAGATAAGAACACATTAGATGCAAATAGTAAACCGGAAGAAAAATTTGTAAGATCAGAGAATTTATCAGATTGTATCTCAAAGCTGAAGCTATCAACAGTTAATAAAATATGTAATCAGGAAGACCCTGGATGTATTTCTAACTCGACAAATTCAACAGTGACATCTGAGAATTTCAGTGCACATCTTAATCTGTCATCTCCATCTACAAGTTTTGGTGCACAGAAACATAAAATATTCGAGCCATTACCAACATCTTTGTCTGTATCTTCGAATGGTACTAAATCCGACCAACTAAATACTCGAACAGTAACCTTTTCGATGGAGAAGTTGGATCAGATATTTAATGACATGCTTCGTAAGACATCCTCTGGCAGCAGGATACCAAGAACTGGAAGCTCCCAGTCGAATCCAAGGACTTTGACATCAACATCTGATTTGGCGAAGAAAGCTGAATCCGACGTAGAAATTCCAGTTTATAAGTCGAAAGGTTCTCCAACCCACTCAGTGCTGGCACATAGCCCCGAGCCAGTGGATCCTGTTAGAAGTTATAAGGAGCTACATCTGTGCAAGGAAATCCAGTTGGCCATGACTGACCTCAAGTTTCATTCGCCACTGCCCACTCAAATGTACGCCTGGCCACATCTCGTGCAGGGCGGATCCCTGGTGCTGGTGAATGGCTGTGGATCGGGTCGCTCCTGGAGTTACCTTCCTGTGGTCTGCTCATCCGTGTTGCGTTTCTTGCAAAATCCCCCCACTTCCCTTGAGGATCGCCTTGCTCCGGGTCCTCTGGCCTTGCTGGTGGTGGATTCTGTAGAGAATGCCAAGAAATTGACCTCCCATTGCGACTTCCTGATGAGGGACTACAACACCGAGTTTCCGAAAGTGGTCAATACACACGCTTATTCCATGGAGGATGTATACCTTATATTACTTAACTCCTGCGGTGTTTTAGTAACCACTATGACCCATTTGTTAGACATTTTGGCCAATACATTAAACCTTGTGGATCTCACTAGATTGCAGTTCCTCATCTTCGATGACTTTGATCGCATGCGCTTGGGGAATCCTCAACTCCTCGACGAAGTGCTGCAGAAAGTGCATAGATTTGGATGTTTAACTATGCAGTTGGTCCTGGTGGCTCAGCAATGGCATTCGGAGAAATTCAGGAAACTCTTGAAGCGATCGATAAAACCACTTATACTCTTTGGAGATTTTTTCGAGGCTGCCCTGTACGGAGGTCTCAAAATGAAAATCATTCTACGCAATTCCGCCTTGAAGACCAAACAGCTTCTCGAAATCCTGGCGGCACAGGAAGGTCCAAGGAAGCGCACATTGATATACTGCAAAGATCAGATGGAGCTGGATCACCTGAAAATAGTTTTAACCGGAGCTGGATATAAATGTGTGGGCGTTTCAAGAGCTCAAAATCTGGTAAGAAATTTAGATTTGAGATTTGTAATATTATAATATTGAAAACATCTCCTTCAGGAACCGAACGAGTTAATGCTGGTCAACGATAGCCAGCTCCAGGAACAGCTCCCCGTGAGGAACATTGAGCTGCTTATCCACTTTAGTCTTTCGGAGTCCTGGCTGAGATTCGCTAGTCGATTCCATTCCATGGCAGGCAACATAAGTAATTTATTGACAACATCACCGGGAAATGAGAAACATTCCTTGGTCACCTACTTGATGCTGGACGAGAAGAACTCCAGGGAGTGGTCACGCACCATTAAATTCCTACAGGATCACGGCATCGCCACGAAAGAGTTGATGCCCCACAGCTGGCTGAAATTGGATGACAGTCTTCCCTTCTGTCCCTACCTACTGAGCAGTGGTGATTGCAATCGTAACAAGTGTATTAAGCGACATTACTACATAAGAACTGATCTTCCGGTACCCGGAAATCCGCTTCAGCAACCTGGGACATTAATTCGCTGCAAATTGTATCGAGTCTACGATGCCGTTCATATGGCCGTCTGGCCTATAAAGTATAAAACCAAGAACTCGACCTCATGGATAGAAGTTCCATACCCCTCCAATCCTTCGACATTGATGCTTAAAATGAGTTTGGGAGTGCCGAAGGAGGTACATAGGCCGTGTAATCTTAACGATGTGTGTTTTGTGCTGTACCAGGAAACCTGGAGGAGGGTGAGGATTGTGGACATCCCTCCCAAACAACCGATCACTGTCCAATTCCTGGATCACGGCAGAGAGCTAGTGCAGGTTAAGCCATGTGAGCTAAGGCAGTGTCCGGAAAAGTATAGAACCTTACCACCTCTGGCCATGGGTATACGTTTGTCAGAGCTAGTTCCAGCTGGAGAAGAAGGCAAGTGGTCGTCGGACTCCATTCAATGGGTTCAGGAAAACTTTCATGTGGTTAAGGGTCAGGTGATCCAGGTATGCGTTGATTGCGCCGTTTTAGATGTGGTCTATGTCAAGGAAGTCGCCTTAATTGAGGAATGTCCAACGATGCTTACAAGTGTGTACAAAATCTTTTTAAGCAAGGAACTGATTCGACAAGGATTCGCCAAAATAGACAAAACAAGCATACAAGAACTGAGGGTCATGCACGAGCATCAAAAACAGGAATTGGAAAAGCTGGAAGCCAAAAAGGAAAACCTTAGTTTCGTAAAGAAGAATACCGATTTAAAGGATCATAAAATAGATCTTACTTCTCCCAGAAAGGAATGCACAGAAATGGCCAAAAGATCGGAGGAAAGCGATTGTAATAATAAGATAAGCTTGATACTAGCATCACACAAAAGATTTATAAATACAGAAAAATCAGGAGAGAAAGGGAGTAAGGAATTATATAAAGAAAACACTTGCAAAGTGGATACTGAGGACACTGACGAGAAATCAATACAGGAAAAACAAGCCCATACCGATCCATCAATGGACAGTACTACTGCACTGTTAAACACTCTGATTCAAGAGTTGAATACTGCGCCTCCCTCAAAGAAAAAGGATACCCAACAATTTATTCACAACCTTGTAAACGGAGAGGATAACCAGGACATCCCTAAGAGGAAGTCCTGTGCAAAACCTATAAAACTAAATAATAATCTTGAAGTATTTCAACTGGAGCCTTCGAAGGAACAAGTATTGCAGTCCTTGAACTGTGCCACAAAGTCTGGAGAAGTAGTGCATCCCAGGGTTAAATGGCACCAGACCCAAACCCATATCGAGCTAATCATTGAACAGCGGGTGCCAGAGTATAAGCTCATTGTAGAGGGAAATACCTTGATTTATAAAGTGACAATAACTACTCCTAGTCAACGATGCCTGTTGAATCTGCTGGGCGAGGTGAAGATCGACAGGGAGAGGCAACATGGCTATTACCTACATGTCAAGTTGACCAAGGTTGGTTTACCAGTTTACTGGCCAACTCTTCTTAACTCTCTGTATGCCCAACAACATTCTCATTGGTTGATGTACGATACTGAGCGTGCTCAGGGACCTCCACCATCGGTGGGTCTGATCCTTTGGGAAGGGTATCTAAATCACGAAAAACGAAATAACCACTCCGATTCAGAGGAAGACGAATTTAATTCCCCTTCGGATGTCTTTATCGAGTCGGAAGTGGAATATGGCAACGTGGACGACTCTGTATATGAGGACTTTTAGGGTTATCACACTTATTTTTATTATCTTGATCTATTTTCTTTTATGAACTTAAATTATATCTTCTGTTTTTCTTTATATTTCAAATTAAATTTCTTTATGTTATCGTAGAACCGATAATTTTATTTTAGTGTATATAAAAAATCGAATGTCATTTTGCCCAAGATTTTTTTTAAGTGGATAGCCCAGGGCTGGGTTTTTTAAGTATCGAGCACATAGTGGTAATCGCTACGATATCATTACAATTAATTTTCTTATGTTTTGTGGAGTTGATTGATCAGATCATTATTAATAATTATAATAATAATAATTCAATTCTTTAAATAGTTTGCAGATTCCCTATATGTAGCTTTGGTCAGTGTATTTGCAGCGTTAGTCAACACTGAAACGAAGAAATACAACTCTGGGTCGGGTTGAGTTTCGTTGCTATCTTGATCTACTTTACTTGCCATTTCCGCCTTGAAACGAACATGTCGCCACGAAAGGATAAGCGAGATTTAAGCTATTGGCTAAAGCAGGCCGCCACTTTGCCCGATTACGTGCCGCCGGAGCAGCAGGAAGAGGAGCGGAAGAAGCTCCATCATCCCGCCTCGATCCTGTGGTCGCCGCAAACGAAGAAGAAGAACGAAAGTAGTTTTCGCGAATACCTGTGCTTTGCGGCCAGGTGTTACAGTATCGAGGAGGAGCAGGCCCTGTTCATCCTGCGACGTCAGGGCTTCGATATACCCTTGGCCCGTCGACGTCTAGAAAAGGTCGAGACCGCTCGCGGATGTCGCTTTCATCGTTGGAAAGCCCAGGACCTCATCCGACTTGCGAAAGCCTTCGAAAAATACGGCACCAACTTTGCGAAGATCCATAAGCAGTTGCCCCACCTTCCGAAGGCCGATGTACGTCTGTATTTTTACTACATGTTCCCGGAGGGTTAACTTCCAGGTTAAAGTCAGACGAGTACTTTAGCTTGATTTCAACAACTTAGAATGCCTCAAATGTTATCTGTTGTTAAAAAACTGGCATAAGTATTTAAACTTGGACATTGTTAAATGAATAATAAGTAAGATCGCCTGATTCCAAAATATTGTAATCCTACATTGATAAATCGAATTTGTCCTCCGAGAATTGACAAGTATACCTCAAGCATGGTTATTATAATGTTAACTACATTTAAACAAATAAAAATTTTTGTGATGCATCCAATCCCTTGCATGAACATCTTAATAACTTATTCATTTAAGTATCGTTGTAATTGAAAAGTCGAATCATTGGATGAACTTGTCTTTATTTTGATACACCATATATTTGCAGTATTCACTTAGGCTTACAACTACGAATTACCAAGCGTGTTTATCACTAAGTAAATATAACTATTTTAATACATATGCATATAAGTTGGTATCGACTTCTCAGCTTAAGGTCCTAACATGTACAGGAATAGCTTAGAAATGCCTAATAATACGACCACATGGACTATATACAACTTAAAATCAAAAAGTAAACAAAAATCTTTGAAAATCCTTGGAAAATGGAAGATGTATAAATAGACTTTGAAACAAATCCTCTGAAAATGTGAAAGATATCGACTGAGTAAATGCATATTAAATTCTTTCAGTCTAGTTTTTGGTTTTAAAAAGAGAGAGGTTAACTGGTCAAAACAAATAAAACTTTTAACATGAACTGGATTAAAAATCATTGTTTTATAAAGAAAATGAAGATGTCTTCAAAAAAAATGGACAAAACCATAGGAAGTATTTTAAAGAAAACAGCTTGTTTAAATGCTATCTTTCAGTCTAGATCACCTATATTCGTTTAGTCTAGCTTTAGGTGTACAGTCAACACTCGTCTTTAGTAGATCCTTAAGACTAAATGTTCTATGCTCGATCGCATCGTTGTCGGAAGATGCTGCTAGGTGTGAGTTCCTCGTCTGAATAATACAATGTGGCTATGCTGCATCTAACTAAACTAGGACTATGCTAGACTAAGGGCTGAGACTTGCGTACATTTCCTTTGGACTACGACTAAAACAAACTGCTCTGCTTGGCTAGGCTGCAGCGGTGCAGGGTCATGGTGCCTCCGGGCTGGAGGGCGAGGGCGTGGATCCCTGGCGGGGGCGTGGTCACCGGACCCCATGACAGCCGCTTTCAGTTGGGCCTCAGTGGAAGCATTCCATAATGTTGCTGCTGCTGTTGCATCATCATCTGTTGTTGCTGCTGTTGCTGTTGCTGCTGCTGTTGCTGCTGTTGTTGCTGCTGCTGCTGCTGGGTGGCCACCGCCGTTGGTCCTTGGGAGGTTGTGTAGGTCACGGCACAGGCTGCCGGCTGGGACACAACCACTGGAGCACTCACCTTCCGCTCCGACTGGGTGCGAATAGGCTGGGGATGAGCTGCATTTGGCTGCGGGGGCGGGGCATACATCAGCATGGGTGGCGGCGGAGGCGATGGCTCCACGCTGGGATGACGAGCAGGTGGTGTTACAGCTGAGCCATGATACGAGCCATAGGAGCTGTCATCGGACTGGGCCGACTGTCCGCGATTCCTGGGTCCCGTCACTCCATAAAGTTGCTGTGGATCCCGCCGGTCGTACTTGTGATTGCCGTCCATGGGTGTGGGATTCGTCCGAGTGCCATAGACCGGCTGGAAGCCCTGTGGTTGCTGCTGGGGATCGACCATCATCTGAGGAGGAGGCTGCAACTGTTGCTGCTGCACACCCATGTTGGCCTGTTGCTGTTGCAGTTGCTGCTGCTGCTGTTGTTGCTGGAGGGGCTGCTGTTGTCCTCGCATGGATCCTCGCATTCCGTAGATACTCTCGCTGCGCTGCTGCATCTGATTCTGGACATTCTGGTTCTGCAGGTGGGCGGATTGCGGAGCTTGAGCCACCTGTTGCTGCTGCTGTTGTTGCTGTTGCTGCTGCTGCTGTTGTTGCTGCTGAGTGCGCATGGGATAAAGGCTCTGGGCGGGCACCAGAGGACCTGGTCGTGGGACAATGTCCCTGTTAATGGCCGTGTTGCTCTTGGCGTACACCGATTGCGAGCGATTCAGGTTGCTCCTGGTCAGAGTGGGTGAGCGGCAGTAGAGGGAGCGGGTTCCTCCGTAAAGTGGCTCCTGCTGCTGCTCGTACTTCGAGGAGAGCGGCGGAGCGGTGTACAGGTTCTGGCAGTAGTTGCCCTGTCCGGCATTGGCCACCACTCCGGCCATCTGACCCATATTGGCCGCCTGGTGCTGACCATTTGCCGATGCCTGACCTCCGGGATTGCCATTGCCATTGGACTGCCCGCGGGGATAGGTGCCCTGCGACTGCTGGTACTTGCCCGGCTTCTCCATGTCCATGTCGTAGTTCAGCTCATCCTCCGAGTGAATCGAGCTGGAGTCGTTGTCGATGCTGCCCTTGGTGTGGCGCATGTTGCGGCGGGAGTTGAAGATGTACTCGTACACCAGGCCGGAGGCCATGCCGCCCACCAGAGGTCCGAACCAGTACACCCAGTGACTGTCCCATTTGTTCAGCACAAATGAGGGACCCAGGGAGCGGGCCGGATTCAGGTAGGGCATCTGCAAGGAAGAGCAAGGGGATTGGGTTAGTGGGAAGCCTGGGAAAAGTATTTCAGGGGCTGCATAAGTCAGCAGTGCAGGGATAAAGCTCTAAAGGGTCCTCTTCACATTTTCTATCAAAGGATACTTGTGGAAAAAGTTGGAAAACAATGCAAGAGGCATTTTATATCGGAGGCTAGTTGACGACAAATTGTTTAAACAGTTTTAAGAGTGTGCCTTTTATGTTCGCAATATTATTTTTTACATCACTTTATATTTAATCAAATAGAATAATCCAATTTTAAAGCAATCTAAGCATACTATCATTTAAACATCAAGAATTCCGTAAATACACAACATCTACTTATTATCTACACATGATCTACTCATATTTTAAGCATTATCTACATATAATCTTAAACAGTTTTAAGAGTCTGTCATTTATGTTTGATATATCCTTTTTCACATATTATATGATTATATTATCAATAAGATCAATTAGAATCAATCCATTTTAAAGCAAACCATCAATAGTATCATTGGAAACTCAAGAATTCGCAAAATACGCAACATCTACCCATATAATATTTTACACATCATCTACTCATCTAAATGATTTGAATTAGAGCCAGTTGCTTGACTTTATTAAATGCTATTCATGTGGACACTATTTAATAAAAAACTTAAGAAATTCCCCTAAGCCCTTAATGACCCTTTGATCTGCAAATCGCTTCGGCGTAACTCAATCCTCCGTCGATATAAACTTGACTTTAATCGGTTGCCCCTCAAGAGCTTAGCCAAGTCATCGCGTCTCCTTTGAATCCCCGCCACAAACTGTCCGTTATGCCAACAATGCAGCTGGGAAGTCCTGGGAGTCCCTGTGCTAAATTAATTATCTCCTCCATCCCCGCTCGACCTTCCAGCATCCAGCATCCAGCATCCCACGATTAAAGAAGTCTCTACCTGAACCGAACCCAGTTTATCTCGTCCGTTGTCATGCTGCGATTTTGCACCATCAAAATGACAGAGTCTTAAAGTCGGCAGGTGCGTTCTTTCAGTTGTTTGTTTTCGGTTCGGTTTCATTTTCGTTTTTGGCGGGTTCTGGTTTTCAGATTTCTGATTTCTGCCCGGCATTCCTGGGCCTTCACATGGGATGTTTTGGCATGGGATTCAAACCAAGGGGAAGTCAACTCACCGACACAAAGCAGCAGGCGCTGTAGGCACATCCAATCGAGGCTGCCGAGTTGCCCATGAACTTCTTCATGGGATCCGTGGATACGAAATAGCACAGAACCACCAGAAAGGTGAGGATGAATTCCACGCCGAACCGTTCCCAGGCAGCCAGAGCAGCGCTCTGTGAGATGGCGGCCTGCAGATTCCCCTGGTAACCCGGCACAGTTACTCTGTAAGATAAAATAAACAAGGAAATTAGTATATTTTATGGCGACAATAAATATGGATTATAACTGGAGCATCAAATTAGGGCCGATTTCTCAATGTCATGTTAAGGTTTTAGTTTGTTAACTGTCACACAAAGTTAACATAGAGTTATATTCTTTACAAAAAAGATTAGTTTGTTATCTTAATGAGATGTGATGATAGGACATAGGCTCTAGTTTAGACTAATCACTTTATCCAAAAGAAAAATTTAACTGAATGACAAAACTAACCAGGACATTGAGAAATCGGCCCTTGAAGGTCAGAAAAAATGTATAGAGCATCATCTTATACAGGTTACAATAACAAATTTGTAGTATTATATGAATAAATATCATTCATCTGCGATAAAAACTACACATTTTTGATATCCGATTGATTTGAGTGCAGAGTTCATTAATCTGCCAGTCAATAACCATTTATTTTATTTACTTTTTACTATCTTGACAGTTTCGAAATCAACCCCCTACCGACATCAACCCCATTAATCCGCTGACACACGAACTGCCTCAACATCATTTGGACTGTGAAAGTTTCAATTACCGAGTTGCCAAATGAGTTTGAATCCCTGCGATTTATGGGTAAACTCAACTGCCGGATAATTTGTTTCCTGATGCGAATGCGAAGTTCTACGGTATACTCGTATATTACGATGTGCAGGAATTTGATTGTTGTCACAGGCAAGGTAAATATTTTCCTAGCCATACCGCAGTCCCTTACCTGGGGCACTCAACCACACCTATCCACCCACTTTGAAAATCCGGAAATAAATGCTTTTGGAATGCACTTAAAAGTACTTTTGCAAACAGAACGCCTGGCAATGGGAAATTGCTCCAAGATCCGGTTGCAATGGGGATTTGGGGATTGAGGTGAGAAGTGGGTGATATATACTTCGTCATCATTGAGGGCGGCTTAGTGGAAATTCCTCTTAATTCCTCCTGATCCCCGACTAGTTGCAAGAAGTCCTCCGCAGTGTTGATTAAACTTTTATGGCTTCGGAAAAACATTTTCCCTTGGGGCGGGCGTACTTAAAAGTGGTCCTTGTTTGCTCATAAATCTATAAAGTGCTAATTTCGGAGGGCACGAGTGACCAGAAACCACTCATCCACATGGATAAACAAACACTCCGTTGGCGAGGAAGCAACTAAGTAGCCGGAAATGGCAGAATGTTGGGCTGCT